CAGATGCACCTTAGACGTGCTAGCAATATTTAATATTTGTTAGCTAAGATCCACCAATCTGTGCATGCTAAAAAATGAAGTCTAGAAATAAATAACAATCTAGAGTGCCTCTGAAAAGTTTTGCCAAATTAACAGAAGCTAATTTGACATCTTCAGTACACTTCCCAAGACCCTGCTGTGAATTCCTGCCATTTTTCAAAAACTCTGGCCTGACAAAGAACTCTGAAGAACCGGAAAACCTGTGCTCCTCTTGGTGACACCCAAAGGGTAGAAGATTTGGACTATGTGAAGTCAAATTTGACTACTTCAACTACTTGAATATGAATGAGAAATAAGTTAGTCATTATTAATTTAAGGCCTTTTGACTTTAGGGAGTTTAAACTTAAAGCATGACTCAGTAAGTTTGACTCCAACATATTAGAACAAATTCCAGGATCACAACTTTTGTCTCTCAGAATTACAGAGGAGAATATACTGTACTAAGATCTAGCTTACTTCAATTTTATGGATGGATGGATGGATGGATGGATGGATGGATGGATGGATGGATGGATGGATGGATGGATGGATGGATGGATGGATGGTAGGTAGGTAGGTAGGTAGGTAGGTAGGTAGGTAGGTAGGTAGGTAGGTAGGTAGGTAGGTAGGTAGGTAGGTAGGTAGGTAGGTAGGTAGGTAGGTAGGTAGGTAGGTGATCTGGGTAGGATACATTAGGAACTTCTGTGATGTTTTCAAGCATGTTGTTTCCGCTATGCCAAGCATACAGAAGTGATAAAATACAGTACAGTATTCGTGAATCATGCATGCACATGTGGTGATAACAATGAAATGCTTCAAAGACATCCTAGGGTAAGAACAGTTACCAGCCAGGCAACACTCTCAGAAGAGAATGAGATATAGTTGTCTTTGTCTGATTATATTTGTTGCTTGAATAAATTGATGTAAGAAGATGTAACTAATATTTATACACCTGAGAGCTATAGAATTAATCCTCAAAAGTTCTAAATTAATGTGAGAAATATATCTCTTGCTGCGGAGCCAGAGGTTGGGAGTTCAGTTCTCGAATGTGTCTCATTGACAGGGGCTAGAATTGATGATTCGCAGGGTTCATTTCTGATCTGCAGTTCTAAGATTATCTAACATTTATAAACACATGTCTAGATTAGACAAGGATCAGTTAATTATTTTTGCCTATCAAATCCTCTTTCCAGGGTTTTTATTTCCATATATTTCTTCACTCTGGAGCCCGCCCCCCAGATATGCCGGGCTACAACTCTTATTACCCTCAGGCACATCTCAAAAGGCATCAGATCTGGGAGGCTGGAAAAGAGGGCTGCTCACTGATAAACTGGATCATGTTCCATAATACAGTCGCAAAGAATAACTAGAGGTTTGACGTTGCTCACAAACAAAGATCTGCTAGTAGGAGCGGACCTACTATTATGCAGAGTAATGTGTCAGTCAGCTCTTTAAATATAGTCGACCCTATCTTTACTGCCATTTTATACTTTTGAGCTTCTTATTTGAACATCCAGTTGCACTAGTAGTTTTATATTTTTAAGTTCGATTAACATTGGTGTGACAGAGACAAGTAGATGTTATCCAAAATAGAAGCTGCACCTGTTCAATACCTCTCCAAGTTGAGTCTTTTGGAACACTCAAGCACAACTAATTTAGCCTCTTCACAATCACACCTAACAACATAATTTGTCTTCTACATCAAGGCTACTCTGCAAGCTGTTTAGGTAAGGCTTACCTGTTTGGTGCTGGCTGGACAGCTCCCCCCCCACACACACACATACAGTTTACTACAGTTGACAGTAGCCATTATTAATGAATACAAAAGTCTACCACTTCATTTCCTCTTCCTATTCTTTACTACATGATTGAAGAAAGTAATTCATTTATTCATTTCCATTAAATTAACAGCAAGTGTGTCCTGTGAGAAAATGCTGCACGTTGTAGTGTGGAGTGCTCCTATTCAGATTTCCTGCTGACCTTGCCCTTTTCCAGTACTCTCTTCCCCTCTCGTGTGTTTTCTCCACTGTAGTGAAAATCTCTCCCCCTCCCTCCCTGCCTCTCTCTCTCTCTGTAGCCTGTCAGTCAGTTGCAACAAAGGGCCTTGCAGTAACCTAAAGACATAACTGTTATTCAGCATAATATCTACATCTGACGAAAGAGGCTGCAGTCCCTGAATGCAAGTTGTTAGCCTTTAACTTGCCAAAATACTTTTTGTTTCTCCTCACCCCCCTGAGTCCTATGACCGATCAGGAACGGTTTGGACCGGCCCCTTGATAAGAAGTGATTTGAGGACTCCAGATACAAAAGTGTGTAGTTACCGGATCTCACCAGAGTTAAGTTTATTAGATCCATTTGAAGCTGTTGAACTAAGTTTGTTGGATTATAAAAAGACTCATGTTAAATGTTCAGAGCCGCCTCCGCCTCTTCTTCCCGTGCAAACTCAGGGTTTGCCTCCTGCAAGAGGCAAACCTGTTCGCAGGCTTTTAGATTTGGGTTTGTTTATTTGTTAACATGGTTGCCTTTGTGTTTGAGATAACTTTATACCATACTTGTTAAAATAAATGCAACAGTAAATAAGCAAGAAATTAAGTAAAAGCTTTTTTAAATGTCTCTTTGCATCAGTAAGACTCTTTAGAGCAGGGGTGGGCATCTAATTTAAAAACAAATATTTTTCAGGGGGGGAAATTGGTTCAAAAATTATTTTGTGACCTTCAGCAGCATGGGGGAAATTTTGTGATGTTTGAGACCCACCCTAGTTCTCCTTTCATTTTTTGGAATTGGGCCACTAGAGGGCAGAATGATGCCTTTTTGGTTAAAAAAAAGGCAAGGATTGTAAGAGTATTTGGAGGCGGGGGACAGGAGTGGCATTCCAAAAGCCAGAAGACGGGCATGTGAAGACGTCTGGAAGTTCTGCCAGCCTGCTTCAAAGACTGCAACATAAGTTTGAGCAGAAATCAAGAAAGTGATCCTAAATTGGGTTTAAGTTATAACAGTAAAAAGAGACATTGCTCTACCAGAATGCACCTTTTATATAGATGCAACTGCACACTTAGAATGGAGTATACATAAAAACTGTTTTAAGTGCTCCTTTTTCCATATGCCAGCTATAGACACTAACATACAAACTAAAGGTTAACACCATTCAGTGATTATCTTTATCCAGCATTGACCAGATGCAGGTAAAATCAGTTGTGCTTGGACCACAGGGTGGGGATGGGGAATCACATTAAAAAAAGAGATACAGAATAGGACTGCTTTACCTTTCATAGTTGTGTAGAAGAGGGGGTTTCAGCAGCTGTAACTTTTAGGACAAACTCTGTCTTTGCATATACAATTAAACACACAGGTGGTCTTTTTCACCTGAGCAGTCTAGTCAGAGCTGAGACTTTTTGATGAGCATGGATAATGCCATCATCTGCCACCCCTTCTCAGGGTCCCTTGTTCCCCATGAGCTTAATTCACAAGAAGAAAAATTGATTTTCCCAGTACCAGTACATGAGAGCCATGTACTGGTACTGAGGATCCGTTACATCTTGATTCAATCATCAATTCAGATGGGGGACTGCAGTCAAGAAATCAGAAGGCTCAGGGTTGTACAGGCAACTATGAAATAACTAGAAAAGATCCCAAAATGTAAGGAATTGGCAATGCAGGCCAAGTCCATGATCATCCATTTTATTGCATTCCTGGTTACTATATATTGATGTGAAAGCTAGACAATTATGAAAACTGACATGAAAAAATATGTATCTGAAAGTATGTTGTTGGACCACCAAAAATATCTATAATAATATCTACTGTGAGTCCTGATGGCAACTTTTAGAGTACTGCATATATTTCAATTGAATTTTAATCGTTTTTATCTTTTTATTGTATTTTATTTGTTGTAAGCTGCCTAGAGACCTTTGGGTAGAGTGGGCGGCATATAAGTTAAATAAAATAAAATAAATAAATAAGTGGGACTTGAATTTAAAAAAAGCCTGAACTCTCTTTAGAAGGAAAAATAATTGAACAGAGGCTCTCCTATTCTGGACACATCATAAGAAGGCAAGGATCACTGGAAAAGGCAGTAATACTGGGAAATGTTGAAGGCAGCAAGAAAAGAGGAAAACCAAATATGAGATGGGGTGAATCAATATGGCCTTGAATTTTTAAGACCCGAGCAGAGCTCTTGATAAGAGGGCCATTGGGAGGTCACTAATTCATTGGATCATGCTGGAAGCATTTTTATGGCACCTAACAGTAACTCTTGCTGCAGTGCCGGCTTGGGCTTAAATGGGCAATTAAGCATCATTACCTTTTCTGGAAGACTGACATGTGACAGGGACGAAAACCTGTAGAATTGCTTTGTTGGATCCACACAGCAATCTGAATCTAAACAGCTAAGTAGCAATTTGAATATTGATTGTAATACAAACATTATTTTGGAAGATTCCTTCCTCACAAGAGACTTCTATACTTACAAACATGCATACTGAAGTCAGTAATTTATGCTGCTAAAGTGAGCTCAGCTGTTGACCCAAAGGAACAGCAAGAAACTTGCAAGTGATAAAAATATCACCTTTCTACTCCAAACTTTTTTTAAAAAAATGTCATCTGACTTGTTCGGATAGGTGAGATTGCACTGCATTACCTCAGTCCTGAAAATAACTAGCTGATCCACACACACAAAAAAAGCGGGCTTCACATAGATCCAGTTGAATACAGCACGGCTAGTTTTCCTTTGGATTTTTGAAGGAAGGCATGGCTCGCTTCGTATTAATAGGGGGCCGAAGTCTTAGCTAGCGGTTTCAGTGGGATACCGCGCAACCGCAAGGTACGGTTAGAGCCGATGTTACTACCCGGCCACATTGAACCCACAACCTCCTCCCTCCGCCGCCCCCCAAAGGTTATGCGGAGGGAAAGCTCTCTCTTTGGTCCAGAAACGCTTCGCCGGGAAAAAGAGCGCGCGGGAGTTCGTGTGAACGGAGACGACGTACCTTCCACCGACTTGCCAATGCTGTACAGGTGAGTGGTGGACGGGTAGTTCTTGTGCACCTCTTTCAGGAAAGCTTCCATCTCTTTCGTGTGATGGTAACCGAAGTCCAGCCCGACCACCAACGGGAGCAGGAGGACGAGGCACGGTCTGCCCATCTCCTAGGAAGAGACAGCAGAGGCAGCCGGTGAGGGGAGACGAGAACAGGAGCCGAGAGGCGCAAGGCGGGGAGATAGCGGGGCGCAGGGAAGCCCGGAGACGCGCCCAGCTTTTACCTCAGGAGTAGCCAAGAAACCTCCCTGGGAGCGCTGGGGCGGGCAGCGTTCTGGCGGCGCGCACAGCTGCCTCTGGGCGCTCCTGCTCCGCCACCCCTTTTGCCGACCAGCCCGGCTCGGAGCGAGAAGTGCCAAGAGCCGGAGCCTGGGCCAGCCCCTCGGCGCAAGCCGTGCCCTGGCTCGGTGATTGACGCGAGAGGCATCCAGTCGAGTCCCCCGCCCGCGCCAGCGCGCGCCTCTCGGAAAGTCAAGGCGTGAGAGGAAGGAGCCGAGGCTGGTCACCTGGAGCCCCGACACCTGGTCGCGTGGGAGCACAACAAAAGGCTAAGAACGAGGAAACATGAAGAAGGGGCAGAGGAATCCTCTACTCCTGCAGTGCCAATGGCGACCACACTTGGACCAGCCTTAAAAGGTATTTCAGTGTCATGATAACGCGCCCATAGAAAAAGAGCAATTCCAGAAAAAAAAAATTCCCACAATATACATGACAACTTAATTATAACTCACAAATCAGGGCACTATATTGAATGAGCCCATGTTTTGCGGTGAAGCAAGCTCAGCAACCAACAACTGGCAACTACAGAATTCCCTTGTGATGTCACACTGCTATTCCATTATCATCAGGACAACTACCCCATTTGGTAGGAGACATGCAGAGAGATGAAAAGTCCACAGAGAAAAGATTGAGGTCAGCTGTGGGGACAATGCTCCTTGGCAGAGTTGTCAGAAAATTCTATATGTTATCTGTTCTGATGTCACCGAAGCGACCAACATAAATTTGACCAAACTCTGGGAGGTAGTGGAAGACAGGAGGGCCTGGCGTGCTCTGGTTCATGGGGTCACAAAGAGTCGGACACAACCTAATGACTAAATAACAACCAAATCTGTTCTGATTTCAACCCTCCTCTGTTCATGCTATTCTCTGTAGCACCTTCCCCAATCTCTTCTCTGTGGGCACCATGGTGGAGACTAGACAGGCATGCCTCAAAGCCACAAAAGAAACATTCCACCAGAAAAAGTCCTGCAACAGGTATTGATGGACCACACCACTAGGATTTGGTGGTAATGGAAGAAAGGAACATTCCAGAGTTGCAGTAAAGATCTACTTGATTTCTCGACATTGCTGCAGGTAGACAAACACACATCCAATTTAGCTCTGCAGCCCTTCTTTAATATGCAGGAATTTAGCAAGTCCGTTGGATATATTTTTGGGGTGCATTGTTATATTGTCGTACAGATTTTTCAGTTTGTTTCTTAAATAGGTTGTGCTTAAGATTCCATCCTCCCACAGCTAGTGGGAGGGCTATAAATCAAATAAATGAATAAAATATGTTTCATGATGTTTCACTGAGGGAAGAAGCATTAGCCCATATAAGAATCACACATGGATAACGATAAGGAAGCAGAGCTACCCAGTAGTTAACTGCAAAGGAGTACTAACTATGGTCAGAGCTAGGAGGAGTTGCCTTTTTAGACTACAACTCCCAGAATGCCTCAGGGCAGATATAGTTCAAGAAAGTATTTTCCCCAAACTTTCCAGTTTTGACTGTTGCCAGTATTTCCAAGGTTTGTCTGTTATTAATGTTTATTTGCAATGAACTGATGCTTCTGCCAGCAAACATGCTTTTGGGACAGCTTGGCCAGGCCAAATTCACAGTTTGCATATACTGGGCTTCCCAATACACCAGCAAAATGGCTGAAGATGATGTAAAACAAGGCACGTAGATTCAGTTTTATGGTGATTAACCCAAGAAACATACTTGACATAGTTGGAGTGGGGTGAGGTGCGGGAGAACTTACTTCATTCTTGTCTACTTATTAATCTGACCTTCTAAGACAGAAAAGACTGTCATAAATCCCTTCACAGCACCTATGTATAAGAAACACACTGGATTAATGCAGGACAATGAAAAGTAAACAACTGTGACAAAGCTTATTCTCTCACCGATACTCTGCAAACCAGAGAAGATGATACCAAGAACACTGTAGGCAGGAGAACCTTTACATTTCAACCCAGCAAAAAAAAATAGCCTTGGTATTGTGTAAACCTGCTGTTACAACTGAGATAGCAAGGAAAAATGACTTGTTACTGAATAATGTCTGCTACTAACATTTTTTAAACCATTCAGAAGGATGGATCACTATCATGCCACACAGTGACAAGTTAAGGCAGGCAAAGATGCTTGGAGTTACGCTCATGATAGCTTGATAAATCATTCTCTGACAAAAAGGTCATGAATGTGCAGAACACTAGAACACATGCATGGCGTCATTTCATTCCAAGAAAATAATGTAATATTGCTAAATGTAGACAGAAGCTGAAGAATTGCATGATCTCCTAGAGATAAAGCTAATACTCTAATTAATTCAACAATGGGTGGGGAATAAGGAATGAGTGAAATCTGTTACATGTATTTAGCTGGTTAAGGGGTGTCTGCTGCCTCCTGGCCATGACTCACTCTTCCACTTTCAACAACTGTGAAGAATAGCTACTGCTGCTTACTCCAATGGCACTGTCCATACCTCCTCTAACATTTGGAGATGTAGTTACTATTTGAAGAGGCCTGCCGTTTTGGGGGTCTGCCATTCCACCCTATACATGTTTGATCTGGTCTGATCTTGGAAACCAAGCCGGGCTAGTCCTGGTTAATGACTGGATGCGACCACCAGGAAAAAGGCTATAACTGAGATGCAAAACACATGCTTTGCATGCAGGTGGTTCCAGGTTCAAACTACAGCATCTGTAGGTAGGGGTGGGGTAAAAGTCTTTCCTGAAACCCTTAAGATCCAATGGGTAGCAAAAGGAACTAGATTTGTACAACAGACCAAATAATTTATATCTAGTGAAGTTGTTTCCATATGTGCTTACATGCAAAGATTGCACAGAGAAAGTGGTTAAGCTGGAAGGTTGTTATGGACACCACCACAGTCCCAGAATGGGAAGGAGAAAACAGCAAAAGAGAAAACTAAGGGTGTGCCAATCAAACGATTGAATGAGTGTAGATGATATGGGAATATAACCCCAAATAATCCCATTCAAGGAATTTGCTCCCCAGATATAGGCATTAGGCCTTAATAACCAAGCAAGTTACTGTATTGTCTGCAAATATCTTGCATGATACAGACAATAATATACCGAATCACCTGCTTTTGTTTTACTCACAAGGTCTCCTGGAGGTCAAGGGGCCCAATTAGCCCAGAGTGTTCAACCCTTCTTAAACAAAATGTGTCCAGAACACCTCTCAGGAAAGCCATCCTATTGTCCTTTAAAATTGGGTTGTCTTTGATAAAAAAGAGGAGGGGGATCAGAAAGGATTGACAGTTGTGCAAGGCTATGAGCAGGAAGAGTTCAGAACTGCTTAAGAAAGAGATAAAGGTGGAGTAAATGGACAAAGGGCCCTCTCACTTAGCAAAGCAGCATGACATTCTGATAAAAGGGTATGAAATTGCCATATCTTTTAATTCTGGTGTGGATCTATGTTCTGTACACTATTACCATCTCTATCTGAAGCTGCCTGCCTTGTACCCTTAGAAGCCAACTCTCCCAATTTAAAAGGTATTACATGGTCATAGATCACAGTTTGTACATTCTGGCTATTTGCAGTTAAAATGTAATGCAGAACAGCTGAGGGATGGTGCTGTGTAATATAAAAATGCATTTGGATAATTCCAAGTTCTTTTTTTCCTTGCCACCCTTTGTTCACTTTGTATAAATAATCCAGTGATACCTTCAATATACTATAGGACCGTATCCCAGCATTTTCTGATGGCTTGGAACATTTTTCAGATGGTGACTTTGAACATTTAAAACACAATTATAATGTCTGGATGTCCATTATACAAATATAATTGTTGCTGAGGCTTTTGGGGGCTTCTGTATTTATAGGGACGTGGTGGCGCCGCGGGCTAAACCGCAGAAGCCTGTGCTGCAGGGTCAGAAGACCAGCAGTCACAAGATCGAATCCACGCGACGGAGTGAGCTCCCGTCGCTTGTCCCAGCTCCCGCCAACCTAGCGGTTCGAAAGCATGCAAATGCAAGTAGATAAATAGGGACCACCTCGCTGGGAAGGTAACGGCGTTCCATGTCTAAGTCGCACTGGCCATGTGACCACGGAAGATTGTTTTCGGACAAAACGCTGGCTCTGTGGCTTGGAAAAGGGGATGAGCACCGCCCCCTAGAGTCGAACGTGACTGGACAAAAAATTGTCAAGGGGAACCTTTACCTTTTTATACTTATAGGAAAGTATTTTCTGCTTATGGGTTCAGCCTTTTCTTTTGAAAGTTGCTGGGGGATTAGCAATGAACAGCTTGCTAACTGCTCCAGAAACAGCTTTTATTGCCCCATATTTCTAATTCCCGATATCAGTTTCTGTTAATTATTGGCTTGCTTTTTTTGTGTGTGGGCGGGGTTTTTTGCAGTTGATTGGTTTGCTTTTTTTAAACTAGTAAAATAGCATTATTTCACTATATATTTTTAAAATACATTATGAATGGATTGAAAGGGATTATATTGGCTCCGCTGTATAGTTGTACAATTCATTTCTGAGTTTCCTGTTCCTTAGAAATATTTCTAATGCCAACTTTCTTGTACTGATTTTTGTAATTCATACATTAAGACAGAAAATGTTTTAATGTATGAATTAAATAAAAATTCACACAATTATTTTTCTTTTATATATTATTTAATGTTTGTACTCTGTAAATTGATAAAAAAAAGTTGATGATCCAGGGAAAAAGCTCTGCTGATTTTCACGGAACAGATCTTTCTTTATTCGTGTCAGAGCAATGTACAGTTTAAAATTATGGATGTATATGAAGTACGTATAAGTACGTATAAGTAAACTTGTGCTGAAGAGACTCCAGGTGCTTGCAGACAGAGTCTATCCAGAATCACAGTGTGGATTCCGAGCTAATAGATCCACCACCGACATGGTATTTTCCCTCAGACAGTTGCAGGAGAAATGCAGGGAACAACACCAGCCACTCTTTGTGGCCTTCATAGATCTCACAAAGGCCTTTGACGTGGGTAGCAGGGACGGACTCTTTAAAATACTTCCCAAGATTGGATGTCCACCTCAACTCCTTAATATCATCAGGTCCTTTCATGAGGAAATGAAGGGCACTGTAGTTTTTGATGGCTCAACATCAGA